AAGTATACTACACCACAACTCGTAAGATCGTAAAACTGGTACTACACACCACCTAATGTAAAACAAAAGGTCAAACCTTAGTCTGCCATCTACAACTATCAAGTAAACCAAAAGTCAACCTGGTTACAAGCCAACGATCAATAGTCAAAGGTCAAAGTCAACTCTACAAACCATCGCGACATGGAAAGACCTTTGCCACGTCATGGTCTCGACCAAACAAGAAAATATGATTGATATGCCCACTGCGTCGTGGTCAGTACTTGACCATGCCGTGGTAATGTTGGCATATCCAAAACCTTGTTAAGTCCTTAATTTGTTAAGTATTTTCCTCAAATTTTTCAAAAGGCTTCATGGCACCCTAATGGTCGATAAAAATCCTAAACTTTATGAACATGCATGTCCAATGGATGTCATACACTAAATTAGGTCAAAATAAAAGAAATAGGGTCAAAACCCCATGCATGGCATCTAATCTACATATAAGTCGAAATCTAAATCATATGATACTCTTGGGACCTCATTCATCAATAAAGTTGCAAAATTTATCTAGATAAATCACTCAAATCTTCCCAACATGAAGAACATGCTTCTGAAACCTAAATCTACAAGTAAATAACCACATAGTTGAAAGTTTGGAGTCTTACAAAAGTACAGAATATGCTCAAGGAGACGGAGATGAGCTTGCTTGATTATCCTTTGCTCTACAAGACCATCCTTCTACCTTTAAAGGCCAAAAATCATCAAATGGAACTCAAATATCAAGAGGGGAGACTAGGGCTTATGAGAGAGTCGTCTTGAGGTGTTGGAGATTGAGGGTAGTCGAACCCTTACCCATATCGTCTATATAGGGCCCAAATCCTGAAAGTTAGGGTTTTGTGCAGAATACGGCGCTACAACACAACCTCATTTAATCACCACGTCGTGGTGACATGTCTCTACCATGCCACGGCAACCAAAGCACCACACCGCGGGGACACAAAATCCAAAAAATCCAAATCTTAACACAATAGAACTTTAAAGAATAATACCTACAAATCTGAATGTTACATGAGCCAAATACTGGGGCCACTAGTTCTTGGACGAAATATAAGGATGGTCGGGTTGCTATTGGGCCATGCTAGGTAGATGTCGATTTTTGTTGGATGAACCACTTGACCGGAGAGAGGTAAACAACCCAGTTGGATTGACTTAGCAATTTATGCATTTGTCCAACTGGGTTGCTTACCCCTCACCACTCAAGTGGGTCATCCAGTAGAATCAACAACTAGCCAGAGTGGCCCAATAGCAACCCTAACAACCTTATTTTTGGTCCAAGAACCAGTGGCCCCAGTATTAGGCTCATATCAAGTCGGCTCCACATGCCTATTTCAACAAAAGTATTATCCATTCTTTTATTAGACTTCGATCTTGAAAGGGTAATTGTACAAGTAACACCACTTAGTTATTTACATATGAATCCATATATTCTTATGGTTTCATTTTGACAAGTGTTTGTTTCATTCGGTATTAATTAATTAGTAGAGGATCCTCATCTCTCGTAATAGAAATGGGACACAACATAACTAATAGTTATTGACCACTTTGCCTCTATAATATGCTTATCATTCCCAACATGATTAAGAACCTTGTTTATGCATGTTAAACTACTCGTTTAAAAATTATCTATTGAATTCAAAGGGTATGGTTTTTCTAGTGATAGATTATTGAACATGCCATATTTTTCTTTAATGTAATATTAGAATAAGTGACTTATACCCTTTCACCTCGCATTCTCCTTAATCTTTGGTGTCTTCTAGTTCATTTCTTTATAGAATCAATGATTTGTCATCACGTGATCAAATCCTTTACTCTTTAGTGTCTCAGTAACTTATTTTTATTATAAAAATTCATCTCGTAGCGCTTTTCATGCATGTTAGTTAGCCAAAATCATTCACCATCCTTCTAATATTTATGATGAAGTTATTTATTTACCAGTTGATATTACTCATTCCCGTGTTTTGACTTCTTTGATTCATATGTTTCAAAGTTTATGTTTTTTTTTTTGTTTTTTTAATTCATGTAGTTTTATCCTCTTAAATATAAATAAGATGTTTTCTATAAATTAAGACAAATTCATACATGTCAAAACTTGGTTCACTAAACATGTTAAATCCTTACGATGTGACAATGTTGATGAATAAAATATTTCATTCATTCACAAGTTTCTTTTACCAACAACGACATTACATATCGCTTCTCTTGTCCTCATATGTCCCAACAAAATTGGAACATATGCTTCACACCATAAATAACGTTCTATGCACTCTCCTTTATAACGACCACCTTTATTCTACAGTTTTGGCCTAGGGCGTCCATATGTCCACCTTTCACCTCAACATCTACCATAAATACTTAGACCCCCTTTTTCTCACATTTCGGACTAATTCAAGTTCTTCATGTTCCAACTACCTCACAATACGGTGATTGTTGCTACGTATAAATCCTAGTGTGTTTTTAGCTATCCTTCAGGGAGTTCATCTAATGAGCACTTGGGAAGCCACACTAAATAGAATATAAAAATTTTAGGTTAGAAAGTCATATCAAGGGTTGGACCCATGTATTGTTCTCCGATGCCTAAGTTAGATGTCGATTTGGGATTATAAAAATAGATTACTTAGAGTCCTTTTCTTGAGAAAGATGAAACCGCCTCTTTCATAGATGAAGTCCTATATGGTTCATGGTCTTCCTATCTGGGTCTTGCTTTGGTCTAGAGGTTACAAGGGTAGAACCCTTTAATAAAATAACCTTGCCTTTTTCTATGTTTCCTAGGATGTTACTTTAGGGATCTTATACGGAAGATTTTGTTTGTGTATTATTATCGGTCTGCGTGACTTATTGGATTGACTACCATCCTGTATGTGGATTTGGGCCTTGCCTTATCTTATTTAATTCATCCGTTTTTTCTCCGGTCTACCCTTGTATGGGACTCCCATACACCATTAATCCCCTCGGCGTAATTGTTAAAGGCGGTTGCTAAACAGTTTTTAATAATTAAGCTTAAATGCTACTAAGTCCACTGGGCAATGAAGCGGCTAATGGTTGTTACCACTACTAGAAAACAACCCTTTAATGACATGCGAACAATGACACTCATTGATGTACGATACGTATTTTTTTGTGTCCTAAAAATATTGTCAGCTTTCCAAAATTTGAAGGATAGAGGACATGCATTTGTGCGTGCCCTAAAATTAATGTCCAACAAAAAAAAATTACAAACACGGAGGGCGCTTATGTTAAACGTGTGTCCTGTGCAAATGTCGCTTTATAATTTTTTTTACTTAAACGCGCATTTTTAAAGGGGGGAAATGAAATCCTCTAAAATTCTAAAATTTAGAAGAACTTGCTTCTACACTCTCTCCTCTAGATCTCCCTTTATTCTCGCCCTCCCTTCTCTCTGCAAACCCTAAGCCATCGCCACTTACCTTCTCTCTAGGACGTGCTAGGGTTTTATTTTCTTCTAAGCTTCCACTTCTTTCGTTTTCTATCAACCCAGTACATGCGAAGGTTTTTGGTCGTGGTCGACCGGTGGTGAAATGATTCAGGCCTCGCTCCCTCTCCATTCCTTCGTTTCTCATCAAAATCGAATGGTGTTGTGCTTACAGGGAGAGAATGAACATATTGACCTGCATAGTGTGTAGAAGGATTGAAAATGGAAGCGAAGGTTAACATCGGTATCTCAAACAATCACTTCTCATCAAATTACTCTACCACAATTCAGCGCCAAAAAAGGAAGCGGCTCTCCGTTCTCTTCTCGATTGAGATTTCAAAGGATTAACATCGGTATCTCAAACAACTTCAACTCTTGTCACAGATTTCTTCCCATCTAATTTTATGATTTTTGATTTCTTCCATCTGATTTTGATTTTAGATTGAGATTTCTATATGCCAGTCGCCATCATCCCATCACCGAAACCAAACTGAAACTCGCTCAACCGCTGAAAGCCTGGAATTTGCTAAAAAATCGATTACTCAAATGTGTGATTGACAGAAAGTATAAATATCATTAAAACTCGAATTCCTGATTTCCATTTGAGATCTCATATTTATGGAATCCAAGTTCTTGATTCCTGAATTTTATTTCCCGGTGCATAGCATTCGTCGGTCGTTGTATTTCTCTGAAGATCTGTACGGTGAGTTATTTCCCTGACCCTCTGTAGTTTTAATGATTTTTTCCTGATCTTGATTGATGTTTGCGTTGTTTCTTCCATGAATCGAACCAAAATTTCAAAAATTCACCTTCTTATTTAGTTTTTCCAAATTCGTATCAAGTAATGAACCATTTTCTATTGATTTTTTTGCTCCTAAAACCCTAAAAGGTCTGGTTTTTTGGGTTGATGTTTTTAGTACTTTAGGGTTTTACCTGCTCATTTAATTTATTGATTGATTTGTGGGATTGTGATTTGTCATTAAAATTGGTGGATGGATGATGTAAGAAAGTTTAGGTACTTCAGTTTGGTTGTACCATGAAAGTTTCATGAAGAGTTTCTAGAGTATTTTGTTTAGCTTTCTTCTTGCTTTTTGTTTGAAGTTTGATAACTAATTGGTGTACTTACATGAAATTGAGCATTTGTTCTGAGAGATGTCTACTGGGTTTTGGGAAGTACCAAACAGGTCACCCCAATCCCTGTCTTGTTCAAACCCTAACAATTCCAACAATGGTGATCCAGGAAACTTTGAATGCAACATATTCTTTGATTTAGCTCAAGATCTAATCGTGACTTTATGTGGTCACCTATTTTGCTATCCATGCCTTTATAAATGGCCAGTTTGTAGAGCCCAATTTGTAGAGCCCTAATTCAAGACGAAAAGTTAGTACCTTTATATGGAAGAGACAAAAACCCAACCGACCCAAGATCAAAATCGGTTCTAGGTGTCGAGATTCCACATTGGCCACCAGGTCAGCAACCGGAAACCACCCCTCCACCAAAAAAAACTTATTCCCTCAACATAGGTTTGGATTAATGGGTGGTTTTGGGCCTGCAATGGCTGCAAGTTTTGGGAACTTTACTTTCTCATTTGGTGGTTTGATTCCATCTTTTTTTAATGTTCAAATGCATGCTTTTACTGGCCCTCAAATGTATGGAAATGGTGGTAGTGGTGGTGGTGGTGGTCATGGTTTTAACTATGTTGGAAATCATCATCAACATCATCATGCACACGGAGGCCATCAGCAGAGAGGTCACCACCATGAGACAGGTTTTTCTGCAGCTTCACCAATTCTGAGAATTGGTCTTCTTTTTCTGTTTTCTCTTCTTTGTAACTGAGGTAAATTTTGAGGTGTTAATGTTACATTGTTACTTCCCATTCCGAATGAGAATTGATAAGCATATGACCTGTTTTATTTTTCTTTATTTGATGATGGTATTTGTAGCTATTTTTAAAGTTTTGCTTTTAAACCATTATTTAAACTTTGAGTAGTGTGTGATCATGAGGATGTTTTTTGAACCACCTTAACTTGAGTCTTTCCTTGAACACACATTCATTGTTTATGTCGACCATATGTTGTCACAGGTGATGTAGTAATAGAAGTTGCTAAGAAAGGAAATGGAAGAAACCATGGAAGCTGCTAAAAAAGTGTCAAGAAAGCTTCGCTTATTTAAAGATCAGATACACAAGGCCGGTTTACTATCTTATGCTCTTCCTAGGTTGCTTAAGGAAATTGTTTCTTTTGATGGTACATTTATTATATGTAATAGATTTTTTTGTTTGAAATACAAAGTATATTAGATGAATGAATGTTGGTGCATGTATTGTATGAAATATATATTTTTTTGTTATATAATGTATTTTATGTTGTGTTATGAGACATTAATTGTCATTTAATTTGAAAATTAGTAAATCTATAAAAAAAAATATTTTTTAAAACATTTTAAATTATGAGACGCAATGTGTGTCGTAAATACGCGCATAAGGTTACGACACATAAATGCATGTCGTCTTCCTTTATGACAGGGGCTTCCTTGATACGCATTGTGTGTCATCTATGTGCGTCGTACATGCGCGTCGTAAGGTTACAACACGTAAATACGTGTCGTCTTCCTTTATGACACGGCCTTCCTTGACACGCATTTACATGTTGTCTATGGGTTTTATGACATGCAATATGTGTCATTAAATATTATTTTTGTAGTAGTGTACACGTGCTTCGATATATGTGCAATTGTCTCCTTGATTGATTTGTCAGTGGTTGCTTTTCCCGCTTCATGCTCCTTATAAATGCTTGTCACGTCTATCAGTTTTTTACTTATTGCTTCTTTCGTTATCCATTGTGCCTTTTCTCATTTTGATTTTCTTTTCCTCTAGTGTAACCTTGTCTCATACGATAATGCCCGCTCTTAGATCTACCTATCATCTTGTTGAGGAAGATGGTATCGTTCTTCCTAGTCCCACAACAATCATCGATCATCCTCCGCCTGGTAAGATAGGCTTTTATTTTTATTATTTTGAGGTTGGTCTATACGTTCCTCCCTCTCCCTTTTTTGGATTTATTATTGAGGCTTACAAGATCCATACTTGTTAATTGAAACTTAATTCCATCCTTTTTTGAGTTATTATGTCATGCTACCCTTATCCCTACTATCGCTTTGTTTCGATACTTCTTCCGGATCTATAGCAATGGTGCTTGGTACTATGTCCGCTCTAGGGGTTGAATTTTTATTGAGGGTCTTCTTGAATCCGTTAAGAAGTTGAAAAATGAGTTTATTTGGTTAAATTCATCTCCCGTTCCTTATCACAATTTTTTTATCTTCATGGAACCATTATTAACCAAAAACCTTATAGGACTTCCGACTTGGTACAAAATATAGATAAAATCTCCCATTTGAATGTCGTCATGAAAAAAAATTCCAGAGGATGTCTTGGGGCAAGTTGGTATGAGCCCTCATTGGATTCGCATAGGTGTAGTTCGATCCCTCTTTGTTTGAGGACCCGGTGCTTATTCTCATTTTTTCCAACATTATTGTTTCTGCTTGTACATTGATCGTCTAATCATTCCCTTATTTTTGTTTTAGCTGGGAATCAGCTACCCTTTATTTTGTTTGGTTTTGTGGAGGGAAAGATTTCAGTCTGAGATCTTGGTTCTGATGTAACATCCCCAAATTCCAGGCTAAATTTTTCATTTTTAAAATAATATAAACTTCCTTTTTGATAAAATTACATCCAGGTCAAACCATTTGTTCATAAACCATTATTCAGAAATCAGATTTATAAAGAAGACAATATGGAATATCAAATCATAAAACTGTTGATGTGTGTCCTGCCTTAACAATCCGATCAGTACCTGAAAAATATTAATCCACAACTATAAGCACGAAGCTTAGTGAGTTCTCCAAAATATCACATACAACACAACATAATAATCATCTATGGGTTATCAGCAGCCCTGGAACTATCAGCAGTCCAGAGTATCATATACAACACAACAATATAAACAAATATAGGTTATATGCAACCCTAGGGACTATCAGTAGTTCCATTGGGATAACAGCACGCCGTGTGGATTAACAGCACACCTCTTGGTTTATCAGCAACCCTGGGGACTATCAGTAGTACCATGGACTCACAACAGTCAAGGAGTTATCAGCAACTCAGTTCGCATATAACAACAATCGACAAATAAGACCCAGCTGGTCAGCATGTAACATTACCACATAAGCATATATATAGTGAGAAGACTCACCTTGCAAATAGCAGCTAAACATCAATAAGGAAATACCCACTCATTCTATACCCTAAAACCCTTATATTGACCAAAAGTCAACCCATGAAAAAAGTCAACGGTTAAGGGCAAAGTCAACAGTCAGCATCACCATTAGCTGATACTCACGTCGTGACCAGACCATGGTCAAGTCGTAGCTAACGAACTCAATCCCGATCCAAAACTCCAATTATGAACAACTCATTTGCGATCAAAACCACTATCATATCATGATGGTCATGCCACCACGTCGTGACAAAATCCATCCAAAACAGTCGAGGAGCCTCATTGTCACGTCGTGACCTCCATATGGTCATGTCGTGACTACAACATCTGGGCAACTTAATGCATTCAGCCCTTAATCCTATAATCCATGCAATGCAACTTCCAGGGGCCCATCTTATTCCAAAAACATTCTAAAAATCGATGCTTTATAAACATGCATGTCCACTGCATATCTTGAACTCATGTTAGGTCAAAATAATGAAAAATGGAACCACAATCATATGCATAGATTCAAAACTTAGCCAACTTCAGATCCAACATACATAACATTCAAGGGACCTCAAGGATCCATAAAGTTGCCAACTTTATGGAATCCTTCCACCCCCAAAATAGGCTAAAAAGGGACAAAAAGCATACATCTAGCAACCTAAAGCATAAAGATTAGAACTTGGTCACTCATAATGGTCTAGAAGATGCTAAATAGAAGTCTCTAAGCTTTCCAATGTGATCTCTATACCACAAGGGCCTTCTTCTTCCTTCCAAATGCACCAAATCACCAAAGGTAAGCTCATAAATGGAGAAGAGGGTATTAGGGTTTTCTTCAAGGTTCTTGAGGGTGATGGAGGCTGGAAATGATGCCTTAAGTATGAGGTTAGAGGTTTAAATATGGGGGAAAATCTAAAATATCAAGGGCTTGGTTGCAGGTATCGTTACGTCGTGAACATACTCGTGTCACATCGTGGCAGCCATCCAAAAACGCATTTGCATACTTGGTATGTCACGTCGTAACAGCTTCCTTGTCACGTCGTGACACATGGTTTTCCTCAAAAACCATGTCTTTGACTCCTTTATGCCATACATTCACCCAATCACAAACATGAAGACTCCCGACGATCATCCAATGGTCCTAAAGACATAATTTTATCATCCCACTGACCGGTAGGAACCCAGTCAACATCCCACACAAAACTTTTCCAAAAATTCAGGAGCCATACCATTCTGCAACACGCACCCTTCCACAATCCCCTACTACCGACGCATCATCAAATGAAAAATGACCACGCACCACCAGAAACAACAGAGACAATCGAATTCTCATTCGAACTTGAAATCACATCATTTCACACCTTCCAGGAGGAAATACAATGATCCCCAGGCCGAATGTGTTCCTTCTTAATCGTGACCTTACCCAAAAGGTGACGTACCAGCGAATCGAATGAAACGATGAACCTCAACTGGTATTAGACACATCCTTCTAACCACCGCAATAAGATTCCACACCTTGATGAAGCTGAAAAGATCCCACCAATGCGTAAAAAGACCAACAAAACTTTCAATTTCTGAAAGGATTCCAAAATTAACTAGAAATAGGGATGAGCATATGGACGGGGGAACCGGCCGGAACCAGTCCCGGAACCGAAACCGGTACCAGAACCGGTACCGGAACAGGAACCCGATGGAACCGGTCGGGCCGGGACCGATACTATAATTTCGTCAATTTTTGGAACCGGGACCCGGTAAGAACCGGTCGTTGGAACCGGCCCATAACCGGGAACCGGACCGGATAATCTTTACAAAAAACACCCATGCCTTTTGCCGTTTGGACTTCTGATTTGGACGTAAAAAAAATGATCGTGACATAGATTAAAAAAAAAAGCGATCTTCAAAAAAAGCCCACGGTAAACCCACAGACTTCTGATTTGGCATTGGATGTAAATTGTACACAGAAAGCCATGCATTCTTCAACTCTAATTCAAGAAGATTGTGACCTGCATCAACAAAAACAACAAAGTTAAAGCAAAATCCAACACTTTTACAAAATTACAAACAAAAATCTATAGACCATTTATGAAACAATTAGTGCACACAAATATGTACTAAACAAAAAACCGACAAGAACCGAGCATAAACCAAAACGGTAACCCAAAAATACGTTGCTATTTCTCGAAGACCGGTTCCAAAATCGAAAACCCGGCAAAAACTGGAACCAGAAGAACCGGAACCGGTAGAACCGTCGGGCCGGTTCGGTTCTTGATTTTGGCCGAAGCCGGTTCCCGGGCCGGTTCCGGACGTTTCGGTTCGTTTGCTCATGCCTAACTAGAAATCCTGCCAAATTCTTGTTCGAATCAATACAAATATCAACCCAGCCGATGTGACCTGCCGAAACTTAAATTTACGTAGCCATGATTATTCTTGACAAACAGAAAAATCCCGCCCCGATATCTAAACATCACATAACTAAGGACAACTGCCAACTCAGACAACTAGAAGCAACAATTCTACAACCACGCAATCAAGAGCACTCTTACACAAAGATCAAGATATATGTTATAGAAATTGATG